TCCTCCCTCCTCTCTCTCTCTCTCTCTCTCTCTCTCTCTCTCTCTCTCATTCTCCCTTTCTCTTTCTATCTTTTAATTCGATAAAACACCGAACATGATATACGTCGGTATATCCTGATTAAGATAAATGGAAGCACACCCAGGGCATGTATATGGAAGCTTATGCATATGAATGCCATTGCGCGTCACTATATACTAATGATTTTTTATAGCATAACAAAGATCCAAAAATACATTTAACAGTGTATATCTATCGAATCGGCAGAGAGCCAAAGATTTTTGAGACTACACGCCAAGTACTTTTCCGTTGCGGAATAATTATCGCGTGTGATCATTTTCCTTTCTTTCGAAAACAATGATTGCAATTTATTTATATAAGAAATTGGAGAATAGACTCGACTTGTTATCGACTACGAGCGATAATCAAGTATAATTTATGATGTTTTGCTACAATCTCGAATAATATTGTAATTTACAAGCAACGATATTGATTTGAGCGAGATTCCGAGGATTTGTGCTTCAAGATCAAAGTTAGCCTCAAAAAGAATTTAGTATCTAGATCGTATCACAAATTAAAAGAGCCACGTTGAAAGCATTTCACCTATCTTGATTGAAATTCTCGGCCAGCTGTATTCGATTGCTCTGATTCTGCTCGAGATTGCACATTCGAATTTTGTCTAATTTGTACAATCGCGCCATCCTCGATATTGTTCCTTTCATTTTCGTCGACGACACCTGGCGCGAGAGTGCCTGAACTATTGTCCCTGTTTTGCATATTTTCGACTTTATAGAGTATATCGTGGCAAAGAGGACATCGGTCTTGGACGTATAACCATTTTCGCAAGCATACTCCGTGGAAATAATGATTGCATTGAGTGATCTTGGCGCTTTGCATCTCCTGATAGCAAATCGCGCAAACGTCGTCCAACTGTTCGAGTTGCTCCGCGTTTGCTTCCGGCAACGAATTGATCTTGTTCACAGCCGTCCGCCGTTTCATAAACACGCTCCATCCGGCTTTCGCCTCGCACCAGATATTAAAATAGGCGTGTATGCACATCATGACGGCGCGAATAGTTCCACCAGACTCAAAGATCAATATCCAGAAACCATTGAAAAATAATATAATGCCAAAAGCAAATTCCACGGTATTGCCAAATGATCTTATTATGTACACGCAATCGTCAAATTGTTCCCAGAATGCGCTTCTGTACGCGTCAATCAGAAACAGGGAGTAAATCGCCAGTGAGACCAGTACTTTGACTATCACTTCGATGCTGAAGACCGACACGGCCAGTAACCAGGTGCTCACGGTGAAGTGGGACCAGAGGAACACGAGTAAAGATACCGGGAAAAATATTAGAAAAGCGCAGACTGTCAAAGCTCGCAAATGTCTATGTAGCGCCGGATTGTGAGAAGCACTGAGTGACATCAAGAGTGGATTCACTATATTGTGCACAAAGTGTAAAATTGCTGTAAACAACAGACAAAAGTTACGATACAATCGCACTAGACGCTTCTCCCTATCGAGACTCGTTAATCCGGTCTGTAGGGCAAGAATATAGAATAATATAGCGGACACCGTGCCGATGCTCTTCTCGTCTTCGTCTTCCGTCAACAATACCCATTGGAAGAAACAGCCAATATAATGGCAGATGAATGAGATTATACTGGTCATACCGAGAACAGCTGTCAATGTTTCGCATCCATTTACTAGCAGCGTTTTAATCATTACGTAATAATTAAACGTTTCTTCGCCGTAGTGATTTCCAAGGATTTGAATAACTTGTTCTCCCACTCGCAACGTCCAAAATGTTCGAAGTACACGTGGTACGTTCAGACGCATCCATTCCGTTTCCGCGAGAGCGGATAAGCCATAATTGATTATAAAGTTGCGTGCGTGCCGATATCCCATGTAGATTGTTCTTAACATAGAGACACCGTTATACCAGATGACAAATTTGCACACAGCCAATGGAATTAAAGTAGCGCATACTGGCGCGTGATACAGATATTGCACCTGGGAAAATTTATAATATACATATTTCATATATATATATATATATAATAATTTTTATTTATTTAACAGTATCATATATTTAATGAGCTTACCGGTAAAGGATGGATCCCCAAGATAGACGGTGACATAAAGCTCAGCACAAGAAGCTTTTGAATTACGGGATGCCTTGGGGCAAGATGTATATAACAAAAGACGCTGGCTAGCAGGCATTGCAGTATGTAGTTTTGAATAATCAAAAGACCTGGACCATTATAGAGAACGTCCGATAAATTCAGGCATAATATATTGTCGAGTATGCTAGTAGTTGATTCTTGTATACTCATGTAAGCTATGATCGCTTTCATTGCACTAACATTTGACCAATACGATACGAATATCACGCCTACAGATATCAGATATAGGTAGACGATTATCAAGTGTCTCGTACATAACATAAATGTATATAAGGCTGACAA